GTGACCCATATTGACTGGAGTTGTTTTGGGGGGCGTCTCTCTCTTTTCCCCCTCCCTTCATCCCTCCTTTCCTGTCTGCCTCGGCTCCCTCTCGCTTTCTACTCCACTTATCAGCTGAAATAAGTGCCATCATCAGAGACTGGGATTGATGGCAATCCCAGCATGCACCCTGCTACATTATTTAAACCTGGAGTGGACATCAAGATTTCTGCTTTTCTCTTCTAGTCTTCAGCTGTCAGAGGTCTCAGATCTGTGATTCCTGTTGTGTCATTTAACCAAGCTCCAGCGTGGAGGGGCACAAAGAAGTCTGACAATTTGACAGATTTGAGCTCCACCGCTGTATCTCAATAGCCCAGTCCCAAAGAAACTGGATTTTGGCTTCACGGCCATGTGAAGACCTTACAAAACCAGATGCACAGACCGAGAGAAAGTGAAAAAGAGAGTGAGCTCTTCACCTCAGGGCTGTGGGGGAAGAGTTTGAACAATGTCTCCCCATGGGGGTGATATTTTATAGTTTGTGTCCATCAGTGACGTGGCCCGGGGCGCTGAGGTTGACAGTAAGTGCTCTCAACACCACTGACACTGATTCATCTGAGCTACGACATACATGAGACGAGGGGAGGGGGGTGAAAGAAGAACAAGGTAAAAGAAAAAAGAAGGGAAGGGTGTCGGGACGACATCTTAGAGCCCTGCACGCACGACACAGACTTTACCTTTTCATCCGCACGCGCGAGACCTTTGTGTTTGTGCATTTGTTGGTTGACCCACCCTGTTTGAGAGCAGACCCTCCAATCTAACATGGCATTTCAATTTCTCCTTCACTCCTCCTGCTCCGTTCCCCTGCTTCTACATTTATATAGAAGAGGAAGACTGCGAACCCTGGGCCCGCAGGATATGCATACTAAGCAATCAATGTGTCACCTCTTCTTGACAATCCTTTTTTTTTCCCTCCATACAGAAGACCTGCTCATTTTTTCCTGTCAGCAGAAGGTAATTTGCTGTATTGTGATTCGGCCCAATAGCTGGGTGATGGAAGTGCATGATGGGTCCGCACCCAAACCCCCACCATCCCGCACACACACGTTCTAGACGGCCTCCTCAGCTCGAGCGGAGGCACCCCACCCAGAGCCGCATCTACATCTGAGGCTGTTAAATGTGATAAGCGTGGAGTGTGGCGCAGGGGCCTCTGATTAATAAAAGATGGGGCTGCTACGAGCTCCCAGGGGGATGTCCTTTCTGAACCGACCCACCCCACCCCGCCCCGCGCGTGCTCAGACGCTCCACACAATGCCTCTTGCACCCACACAATAGACAGGAAATGGGGAGCAAGAAGCAATCATGGAAATATAACATTTAAAACATCTGCATCCTGTGCCCCTCGCATCTAGCACATGTGCATTAGAATGGACAGTGATTCACCTTTTGAAAAGCCAAAAATATGACTAATATATTCACAGATACACATGTGAGATGGGAAGTCTGATACCCTGCTGTTTCACAGCACAAATAGCTAATTTGTATTTTTATATATTCAGATTTTGAACGTGTGCACTGATGCAGTATTGTTTTTATTGTAGATCTATATTGAACAAAGGGACATTACATCCATTTGCATATTTATGGGTGAATGTGTGAGCGATCCGGATGCTTCCATGCAGAGAAGCTGTGTGGAGCCAAGTCACCTCTTCACTCATTGATATGGCTTTGTTACCAACAGACACTTTGTCCCTATTCTCCTCATGTTTACAAGAAAAGACAGCATAACCCTTGTTGCCCATGGAGACCAGAGACATCCCCTTTTCTCTCTTCCTTCTTGGCACTTGAATGTCTCAAATTTAGATGATTCATCCTCTTTATTTTTGGTTTCAAATGAAAAAAAAAAATCTGTGGGATAAATCATAGAAACACAAATGTAATCATAAGGACACGCATGTCCAATCTTTTTTTGCAAAATTGCATAGCTATTCCTCAAATAACACAGCATAAACCTAAACACACACACACACACACACACACACACACACACACGTACACACACAAATGCTCATCAAACCAATACCTCAGCCAGGTAGCTTGTAGTTTTTCTCTTAAAGACTCTTGAATCTGTGCAGTTGCTGCTCTTTTGTAGATGCTGCATTTATCTTTCCATAACCATGCCCCCACCGCGGGACCAGACAATAGCAGGACGTTTCTAATTTTCTGCTGAATAATGACCGTCATGCTAAAATGAAATAGGTCAGAGGTCAGTTTTGCTGGATGTGATTTCTGGGGACACGAACCTTTCCCTTTTCAAAAATGCAGTGCTTTAATTCGATTCCATTGAGTATTGTCTTTTCAGAATGGCGGCTGAGAAAATAACTTATGCTTTGATTGAATTTCATATGACAACATTATAAATTCAGTTTTATGACCAGCATTTTGGAATTGTATGTCAACCTTTGGGTTTATTTACTTATTCTGTAATGAGTGCATCCAGATACGATGCAGCTGTGTATGTGCGCTTCTGATATTCATGTGTCTGTGTCCCTTTTGACCTCATCAGCGGGCTCCTCCCACTAGCCTCAGCTGAAATAGATTGATATAGCCGGCGCATGAATATGTATGCAATATGCACATTGACTTGAACTTGGTTTTGACCTTTGTTTCCATAAACAATATACATATACAAGCATAAGCCATCGGCTTCACTCTGGACAATTGAGGTGCATAAGATCTTTCCATACATTATTATAATTTTTTTTCCTCACAGCACTTCAGTAGTATGTATATATACACCCACAAAAAATAAATAAATAAATAAAAAGTTGACCTGTATTTTTTTATCAGCAAACTATAGTATATACCAGCCAAAACAAATGGCAATTTCTCTCAATAAAAATAATTATTGGCTCTAATGGATATTATTGGCAAAAATGTAATAATGATATGTGTAAAATCTAATGGAATTCTTTACACTTTGACAAAATCTAAGATCTATCAACAGTTATTGCTTAATCTAACTGTAAAACTGAATAGACATTCCTTGTGAAATCTGAGGGGTGTTTTTGGCAAAAATGTTATGCCAGTTAAACTTAATGTTAAATCTAACGAAATAAAGTTAAATCTAATGAAACTCATTATTCATTCAGTAATTATGGCAATTATTGGCAATACTTGTCAAAATGCAATAATGATTAGTGGCAAAAATCAAATGGCAAAATCTAATGCTCATTATTGGTAAAAACAAAATCGAAAGGCAATTCTTGGCAAAAAAGTAATGTCAATTAGTGGAGAATATTTCATGAAGAATTCTAAAATCTAACGATAGTTATTTTAATATTCGAATTGCAAAACTGAATCGAAATTCTAGGAGAAATCTAATGGATATTATTGGCAAAAATCCAATGGCAATTATGTGTACAAATCTGATGGAATTAATGCCATAAAAATTAATGGCAATTATTGGCAATTCTTGACAAAATCCAATGGCAACTCTGATGCAAATTATTGGTAAAATCGAATGGCAATTTCTGGCAAAAAGCAATGGCATGTAGTGGAAAATATTTCATGACCAATTGTAAAATCTCATGACAGTTATTGGTTAATCTTATTGCAAAACCGAATGGAAATTCTAGGAGAAATCTAATGGATATTATTGGCAAAAATCTAATGGCAACTATGTGTAAAATCTAATGGAATTAATGCAAAAAAAAAAAAAAAGATAGAAAGAATGGCAATTATTGGCAGATCTTGACAAAATCCACTGGCAGCTCTAATGCAAATTATTAGTAAAATCTAATGGCAATTTCTGGCAAAAAGCAATGGCAACGTCAGTTACTGGTTGTTTTAATCATAAAACAGAATGGAAATATTAACGAAATCTAATAGCAATTCCTCTCAAGTGGCACTCTTCATACAAGCACTGTATTTATGTGTTTGACATTTCTCCCTGCTCCATGTTCTCATCTACATTTCAGTCCATATCTGTGCTGGCGTGAGACTCCATTTCCCAGAGAGCAGCACAGGAGAGGAGGTGGGGTTGCCGTACTCTCTTAAACTGCTGCCCTGGAAGGTCATTGCTCACAGTCATGTGAGAGGCCAGTGCGGCCCCTTGGGCCCTATGACAAACAGGGCTGCAGTGCTGAGGTGTGTGTCAGGGGTGTTTTTCCACAAAGCATTCTATAAAAGTGTAACCGCTCCGTGTTTGCCCTTTCCTCCCTGTACTGCTCAGTCAACAGGCCCCTAAAGAGCTCTTAAGAAATGCTGAGCCAACACACAAGCTGGCCCTGCTAACAACTCTAGTAATGCTCTTTCTCGCTCTTTCTTCCACTTTTCTGTCCCGCGTTCCCTCGCTTGTGCTGAATCATGGCAGGCTGTGATCGTGACAGCGGGGAGAGCAGGAAAGGTGGTCCTTGTTTGGGGCCTGAAGCTAATTATGGAGCATTAGAGCAGTGCTAAATAAATGTGTAGTGTTGCTAATTGCTTGCTAGTGAAAACAATAACTCTACAACAGATGCCCAAGGGCACAGGGGGACGAGAGGCTCTGGGAATAAAGGGCCTTGGCACGGGGCCATCAGCGGCCCCTCCTCCAACCCTCCTGCTACCTCACCAATGATCTGTGCCAGCACTAGCACTGAGAAACACATGCAATCTGGCATCGGCATTTAGCAGTCAAGCTGTTTGTGCACATGCATATGCGCTTCTGAGTGTGCAAGAGAGTTCTCATGATTCCCATGCTGATGCTGCGCATGTAAACATGCACTGCAGCAACAGCAGCAATCTGTCCCTGCCACCTTCACACATCACTGCATTAATAAACATGAATCAGTAATAGCACAATTAGACCAGGCACGGGTGCATCGGTTGTGCAGAAGATCAAGTGAAATCACAAACTCATGCTTCTGAGAAGCTCTGTCACTCATATCCCAGAAAATTGATAATACTGTCCCAGTGCAGCTGTTTCTTTTATGTCTCACACATCTTTCTTTGTATTTCTGTATCTCTTTGTGTCTGTGTTCTAGGTTTGGATCCATTCTGTGACGGGAGACGGCGTTTGAACAGTGCACACTACTGGATCTCCGGTGGCCTGCCGGTACGTACGCCCACTCTCGCGCAGATTTCCCAGCAGCACCTGAGTGAATGAGGCTAACATGAGTCTTTACACCCGCTTAGACCACACACAGGACATGAGTGACAGCGTCACATCACAACTTCATGTGTCAAATCGAAACCAGACATCCAATCACACTCTATTCTACTACAAAATATGACAGGGAATCTGAAAAACACACTCGCATTCGAACTTACAGTGACCGATCAGGTCTTTACCGCAGTGTTTAGATACAGTAAGATTACCCTATCTCTCACAGCCAGAAATGCTGTGATGAGTAGCAAACATATGAGTCTGAACTGTTACAGCTGGTATGTGCTTAACACACACACACACACACAGGTGGACTGCAGTCTGCCTGTCTCAGGGCCAAGCCAACGCTCCCTCAGCAGGACTTACTCATGCATATTGCAAAGGAATCTCCTTGTAATCCAGTCGTAATGTAGTGCTAACATTCTGGCAGACACACACTGCCACAGGCTCTTATTGATCATTTTACTCACAAACAGATACACACAGTTCTACACTCACAAGTGTGCACATATACAGTACTCTGTTGTGGCCCACTGACATATTTGTCTATTGCAACACTAGCCTAAGGAAGTTAAATCTTTTCATATTCTGCCTTTTCCTTGTTTCTTGCAGCCCGTTCCCTTTTAATTCCCTCATTTATCCATTGTTTTTTTCCCTCTACAGATTGTGCCATTAGCACAGATTGCTAATGATCCCTTCATTTTGAAGCTTTTCTGCATCACAGTCTCAAGGGAGCCATTTTTGTTGTGTTTTTACTAATTGCCTTAATTTATTGACTTGTTAAGGTTTCCTGACCAGTTAATTCTGCTTTTTGTTCCTCATTCTTCACAAATACGTTTTGCACTCCTTAAAATAGAAGGACAAGATTTGCGAATCTTTTATTAAAGAATGAGGTCATTCAAAAAAATATTTTATGAAAAATAGAGCTTGCATAAAATATTTGTTTTCTTTTTCCTAATTAAAAAGTATACATATCACTCTTCCCTAAAAATATACTATATACCCAACATTAAAATTGCACAATAATATATTGTATTTGCTGTAGCACATCCATCATTGAAAGATGTCAGTGGATGATACCCACAGCCTAAATTTGAGTCTAAATTTCAGGTAAGAAGGTCTAGATGCGTATAAATAAAGTGTTTTTGGGATTTTGAGCCACAGCACACCTCAATTTCTCTAATGTAGCACCTACTGCAATGAATCAGGCGTGAGTAACATAATCTCGCTAATAACCTGCGGTGTGTCTGTGTAACCACTTAAAGGGATAGTTCAGCCAAAAATGAAAACTGAAAAGGAGATATTCAGCAAAACGTCCAAGCTGCTTTTCTCCATGCAATAAAAGTGGATGGGGACCAGGCCTAACAATGGTGGCCATTCACTTTCATTGACTGGAGAAAAACAGCTTGGACCACCTGCTAGCTAACCCTTCTAGAAAGTCATATGGGTTTGGAACAACTTGAGTAGTTATTGACAAGTTTTGGGTGAACAAAGTTTCGATCATAATCACAATCCATTGTTGTCTCCGACTCTGTAATATAGGTCTTTGAATCATTGTGTCTCTTTTAGATCCATGTTTTGGGGCACTACAGCCAATATGATGTCATGTCGGAAGTGTATGCCTTGAATTTGTGTGTTAAAGTGTACATGTCCATTACACAAAGGCATTCCACAAAAATAGAATACAGGGCTTCATTCTTTTGGATTTAGATTGTGGGGCTGATAGGTGATCAGTGGTCTGACATCTGCATCAATTCCCTTCATTATGGCCTGCAGACCAGGCCTGATCCTCAATCAACCCTGAGCACATCAGTTGAGCACAAACCACAGTGCTGGCGAAATACATTTTGGCCTGGATCAATACAGGCCTCCCTTGGGCTCTTGTGCCTGATCCCCCCTGGTGTGTCTTGTGACTGAGTGGCAAGACAGGCCTGCTTTTCTAAACAGCCCTCACTTCATCCATTGTTCTCCATTGTAGGACCAGCAGCTCTTCTGTTTATTATCCAGACTTTTGTCCAAAAAGTGAAAAAATATTCAGTCAGTAGAAAGTTGAAAGTGTCTGTACTCCGATAGCGAGGAACTGATACACGCCCAATGATTAATATCCCATTTTTGAACATTCCACCATGATCCACTGGTGTACAGTTGGGGTTTACGAAAAGATCAGGCACCAAAATCCTCAAAGTGGCCCGCAAATATCCTCAAGACTATCAAATGCATTGGACCTGTTCTCAGTATGATGTTTTCTCATTAAGAATTCCCTTCGGAAGTGATCGCCGCCATATTTTGCAGGCCTCCTTATGAGCGAGAAGTCATCGGGTATTGTTGTTCGCAGGTAAATTTTATGGTACGCGATTCCATCCCCGTCAACCAGAGGCATTTTTTTTCCTAGAGAGAATAAATGATAATTAAATTTACAAAGCAATCAGAATTAATCGCGTACCATCTCCCACAGCAATTAAAGACCTCCACCTCCCCCCGCGCACACATACGCTCATTTACTCACCAGGCCAAACCTGCGCCTGTTTTCGTTCATACGTTACCTCTCTCGCCCACTCCCTCTCTCTCCGTAAATTATTTTGTATACTTACGGCGAGACTCATTAGTCACCCCTCCCTTCCGCGGCTTAACGAGAAAACGATTAGAATGCATGTTAACGCAGTCCCAATTGCTGCTCCTGCTCGCTTCTCTACGTCCACACCACACTGCTTTACCTTCAGCACTGCCTCCTTCTGCCTCTGTGAGATCTCCCCTTCTCTCCCCTCTACCTCTCTCTTCTGTGGCTGCAGCCTCTCTCTCCTTTCCTCTCTCTCTTTCCC